AAATACGCGACTGCAAGATTAATTAATTCCTTTGGGTAACCAAATTCGTCCCAAAAATATTATTTTTGGGACGAATAAAATATTTTTATTAAATATTATATTTTCCTCCCGACTATCCAATAATCGAATTTGCATGTATCTTGCAAACAAACAAGTCGTGGACGAATTCATGCAAAATCATGGACAAATAGAAATCCAGAACAATATTTTACAAGCTAGAAGATTAATCTCACCAGCAACACCTATTGTTTTTTCAAACGTATGTCCAACAATACCACACAGTCTGTTAGTTGAATATCTACAAAGTATTGGACTTAATATGGTCTCTCCTGTCACTTTTCTAAAAATCAGTTCCACTCTTTCCGAATATAATCATATTTTAAGTTTCAGAAGACAAATATACGTCAGTCCCCATATCTCCTTACCCGACTCATTCACCTTAGACTTCGATAATACAACATATCGAATATTCTTATCTCAAGAAACTATGGCCTGTTATAACTGCAAAAAGTCTGGTCATATCGCCACCAACTGTCCTGATAAACTAGAATCAACAACAAACCTAATTGATTCTAATAACATTCAATCTACTACTTTTTCCTGCCCTGACATCATGCCTCAACCTGCAGCAACATCCATATCAAACGAACAAATGTCCGTCCAAGGAAAATTAGCAAACAATCTGAGCAATCCTAACAGTGCTAATGGTCAAGAAGAAGTTAACACCATGGAAAGCTGCAAAGTAATTAATATCGATCTCCGGCCGAAACGTAGTATCAATGATGTTCTTACGTCTCCAGAAACAACTTCTGAAACAACAGAAAAATCATTTGCTGTACCTGCATCCAAACCTAGAGTCAAGAAAGTTAAAAGCAATGAGGAGCATACATGCATAAAATCAACAAAATCATATGACCTTGAGCCTGCCAAAGATATTATCCAAAATCATCTACCCACATTTGTCCTCAATTTTGACCAATTAAATCTACTTCTAAGCAATGTTAACGGCGTGCAGGATCCTTCTAAAATATTTCAAGTTTACTTCTGACCTTGGGGGATTAGCTCGTATGCTAACTAAAGTTCATCCACAATTAAAAGATAGATCAACCAAACGTCATATCACCTTCTTAAGAAAGAAAATCCTCCAACACTTTCGTAACGACATCTCTGAATCCGAGGGCAAGTCATCTCAGGATAACCCGTAAATTCATATTTTTTCTTATATAATATAATTCACTAAACTACTGCAATGAAATATAGATGGATGTTTCCATCGACTTCCCAATCTAGATCCAATTCTCCGTCAGCATTACGAACATTGCTATAAAATATTTACAGATGCATCTAAGTGTGATAAATGAGTAGATGCTGCATTCGTTACTCCAAACGATACGTATCAATTTCGTCTCCCAACCTTCTTTTCGATTTTTTCCGCTGAACTCTATGTGGTGTTTAAAGCTATCATACATATAAATTCTAATAAAATTCCTAACTCTGTTATCTTAAGTGACTCACTAAGCGCCCTTCAAACCCTTAAACAGATCTATCCTAAAGGTCCCCTTGAGAAACTGATAAAACTAGAACTTACGCAAGCTCAAGAAAATTCTAGGAGTATCAGATTTATATGGATTCCATCCCACATTGGCATTGCTGGCAACGAAAGTGCGGACCAGTGCGCGAGTGAAATTGCTAAATGTGCCAATATAGAAAAAGCCGAGTATCGAAATACCGCGAGTGATATAAAAGCCTTTATAAAGAATCGAGTTTTGTGCAAGTGGAAAAACGAATGGCAATCTTCTCAAACATCTCTGAAGCAAATTAAAAATGACGTTGCAGCTTGGAAACCCTTAACAAGGAACAGAAGAAAACAATTGGTGATAACGAGATTACGAATTGGACACACGAGACTTACTCACTCATACTTATTTAACAAAAGTGATCCACCTATTTGCGATACATGTAATGTACAATTAACCATTAACCATTTAATAATTGAATGCCATAGATTTGCCAATTTTCGTGTTACATTTAACATACCTAAGAGTTTAAGTAATTTATTAGTCACTAATTTCTCAGCTAGTAATATTGTAAAGTTCTTAAAATCTATAGGACTATTTTATAAACTCTAATTTTGTAGTCGAAAGAAAATGCAAAAAAGTATTTTTGAAGTGTGTATATTTTAGGCAATTCCTAGCTGAGCGCTTTCAGCTTTACAAAGCCATCATCAGAGCTATGCTACAATAAAATGTTCTTATAAGTACTAATTGGTAAAGATTATAATTTTTTTAACTTACGTCAATTTTTTAAATACCACTACAAAGGAGAGATCTCATTTCCTTAAATTTCAAAATTATGATTTTTTTAAGTGTTGAAGTTCTTAAAACATATAAAAAACATATAAAAAGCAGACACTGGACTTCACAAACACGTTAAAAAATTGAAAAAAATTTTTGTCATGGTACGGGTGTAAGAACCCGACCATTGATTGATGTGAGGACGTAGACAGAATAGAACTAATGAAATTAAATGTCGGTCCTTTTAAACGATTTTTCAAAAGTGACAGTTGACAAATGTCATATATAGGAAATAGAGATTGTTTTTTAAATTCTTACAAAATTATTTAGTAGTTTGGAATTACTAATAGTCATTAAAGACTTTCTAAAAATTAAGTTTTAAATTAAATTTTATGTGTTCATCACATCATACAGAATGACATTAGTTTTGTAAATTCACTCAAGTCATTGCTCAAGGTCAATGTATGTTCAATCTGACAGCCATCCTTAAGAAACAAGAGCTCAAATTGTTCAACAACAATATAAAGAAGAAACATGGTATTAATGTTACGTTATCTGATACTTAAGTGTATTGAGAATTGTATCTCTTGATGGAAAATTGTAAAAAATTTGCATAAAAAATTTTTTAAGAATGTATTTTCATGTTTCAATTAAGAATAACTGTCAAATGAATTACAAAATGTTGTAAATTTCTAATGAAGTTTAAAATTTGTTTAAAAATATAAAAGTATGAAAAATATATAATAAGATTGCATGAGGTCACCCTTCTTCCTCTAAAGTCTCCCATAATAATTTAAAAAGAGGTTTATAGTTGCAATTGAGGTTGATTTGTGTGTTTAAGCAACAATCAGGGTTTAGTTTCATTTCTTTGGATATCTCTAGATCTTTCAAGAGATTCATGAGTCTAAAGTTTTTATTGGGAATGTTGTGTAAAATTTTACTGTTTTCAGAAGGAGAAAAGGAATGATTATTAAATTTAATGTGATATCCAAAGTTTGATTTTTCTGGGTTATTGAGGTGTTCTTTGATTCTTTGATTCAGAGTTCTCATTGTTCTACCTACATAAGTCATATGAATCAAAGAATCAAAGAACACCTCAATAACCCAGAAAAATCAAACTTTGGATATCACATTAAATTTAATAATCATTAATTTTCTCCTTCTGAAAACAGTAAAATTTTACCCAACATTCCCAATAAAAACTTTAGACTCATGAATCTCTTGGAAGATCTAGAGATATCCAAAGAAATAAAACTAAACTCTGATTGTTGCTTAAACACACAAATCAAGCTCAATTGCAACTATAAACCTCTTTTTAAATTATTATGGGAGACTTTAGAGGAAGAAGGGTGACCTCATGCAATCTTATTATATATTTTTCATACTTTTATATTTTTAAACAAATTTTAAACTTCATTAGAAATTTACAACATTTTGTAATTCATTTGACAGTTATTCTTAATTGAAACATGAAAATACATTCTTAAAAAATTTTTTATGCAAATTTCTTACAATTTTCCATCAAGAGATACAATTCTCAATACACTTAAGTATCAGATAACGTAACATTAATACCATGTTTCTTCTTTATATTGTTGTTGATCAATTTGAGCCCTTCTTTCTTAAGGATGGCTGTCAGATTGAACATACATTGACCTTGAGCAATGACTTGAGTGAATTTACAAAACTAATGTCATTCTGTATGATGTGATGAACACATAAAATTTAATTTAAAACTTAATTTTCAGAAAGTCTTTAATGACTATTAGTAATTCCAAACTACTCAATAATTTTGTAAGAATTTAAAAAACAATCTCTATTTCCTATATATGACATTTGTTAACTGTCACTTTTGAAAAATCGTTTAAAAGGACCGACATTTGATTTCATTAGTTCTATTCTGTCTACGTCCTCACATCAATCAATGGTCGGGTTCTTACACCCATACCATGACAAAAAATTTTTTCAATTTTTTAACGTGTTTGTGAAGTCCAGTGTCGGCTTTTTATATGTTTTTTATATGTTTTAAGAACTTCAACACCTAAAAAAATCATAATTTTGAAATTTAAGGAAATGAGATCTCTCCTTTGTAGTGGTATTTGAAAAATTGACGTAAGTTAAAAATTATAATCTTTACCAATTAGTACTTATAAGAACATTTTATTGTAGCATAGCTCTGATGATGGCTTTGTAAAGCCGAAAGCGCTCAGCTAGGAATTGCCTAAAATATACACACTTCAAAAATACTTTTTTGCATTTTCTTTCGACTTGTCATAAGTGTGTACAAAAAATATCAGTCTTTTGAGTTCTAATTTTGTAATTCTGTAGCCGCCGCTAATAACCATTATGGTGGATGCGGCTGTAATTTCTAAATAAAAAAAAATAATAAATCTTATAATTGGGTTAAAATAATACCTAAATATATATTAAAGTTTGTGATACACACACATAGTTAAAATTAGTTTTTTGGCAGCATACTTAATTTTCAAAATCCTAATTAAGTAGTAAATCCTAAAGGTACACAGTTCATGTAAGAAATTAACCTGTAATATAGATCTACAAATTTTAAGTGTTTATAAGCCATATTTTTAAGTATTTGTAAATTTATATTTTTATATTTAACGTGTAACATACACATACATAGAAAAAATACTTATAATATTTCTTGACGTTCTTACAAACGATAACTAACGTTAAACATAGCATTATATAACCTATATAAAATAATAAATCTATTTCCCAATTTGAGACATTAGTATGAAAAAACAAACTACACTTAAATACATAGTTATATAAATTTTCAACTAGTAAATTGTTAAATTATTTTCTCTGACCAATGATTCCAGGTCTTAATAAGTTCATAAAACGATTTTCCAGGACTCTCAGTAGAAGAAAGCTGACGTGCACCTACAATTATATAATCCGTGGCTATGTATCCAAGCTGAACACCTTTCTCTATTAAAACCTCCAAAGCATCAATCTGGTATTTGCCAGGAACATAATTGGTAAATGTTCCAATAAAGCCTATACCAAAACTCATTTTATTATAATATAATGTGTGCGCCCCTTGAGAAGTCCAGCCTCTTCCTTCGTAAATTTTACCATCACCTCCAATTAAAAAGTTGTAGCCGATATCACTCCAATGGCGGTTTTCTATGTGAAATGCTTGAATAATACGAGTCTGAAGTTTGCACTCTGCTGAAGTTAGACACGATTGTGTGGCGGTGTGGTGAATTATTATTAGGGAGACAGGGGTATGTAGCGTATCCAGTCGTGATGTAGGAGATTGAGCCAACCAATATATTCTTGACACATAAAGATTGTCAAAGGATGATGAGTTGTTATCTAAAAAAAAGTAATACATAAATTACTATTAAAGAAACTTAACACATATAAAGTAGCGACTGTATAGTTTTCAACGCTACGAATTTAATATTTAAGAGATATAGAATAAGATTTAATGTAACAAGTGACCAGTTGGATGCCAACTTTGTCCTTTTTAATATAACTCGTGATAGTCCACTCTTTCTTCTGTTGTGCTTTTTATTTATTATCTTAATATTATACAGTTTCTCCTCCTAAACAACTGTCTATTACACTACCGGTTTTAAAACTAACACTAGTTTATTACTTTAATAACAATATGCTGTTATTAAATCTAATATTACAAACTAATAGTACAACCTGCCCAAAGTAGAACAAAAATTAACTTATTTTTAACCTAGGTTGACTAAGATCATTCATTTTTTCTCATTAGTATCGCTTAGCTTGCAGCAGTTAATTCTATATAACAGTGGTTCCCAAAGTTTTTTAGTTCGCGGCGCACTTAATAAACTAGAATTTTTCCGCGGCGCCCTAAGTCAAAATATTGATTTAACGTCTAACTTTAACTGTAGTTAATACGGTTTCTGTTGCAGTTGATATGGTTGGGTTAATTTAATAATAATGAAACATACTTTAAATTCACAAACAATTTATTGAAAAAATAATTTCAGTAATTAATGGGATAAATAAGCTTGTTCTTGTTCATTACACAACTTTTCAAATCTCGGAATCAAACTGGACACAGCTACCCTCATTTCTTGTTCCACGTTAATTTTCGCACGGTATTTACTTTTTATTACAGCGACCGCCAAAAACCTAGCTTCGCACAAATAGGATGTTGCAAATGGAATTAAGATGCGCAGAGCTCTACCACTCAGCAGCGGATATTCATCTCTTACTTATATCCAAAAATCAGTTAGTTCCGTGCAGCCAAACTTTGTCTTAAACGTATTGTCGCAAGCCAAATCAATGAGATTTTCTTGTTCTAAAGAAGTAAATTCAAAAGAAGCTTCCGCTGTAAATGGATCTTGAATCCATGCAAACTGGTCGATATTATCAGCTTGAAAGTATTTTTCGAACCATTTGATAAGCTCTGATAAGTGATCCGCAAAAATAGATTTAATATTGCAAGAGATATTAACTTTATTGGAGATAATAAACTCCTGCAACAAGGGACAACAATCAATGATATTATTATCATTAATTTTTCTCTTCCATACTTCTAATTGTTTTCTGAAAGCTGAAATCTTCTCCGCCAATTTTAAAATGGGCGTGTTGCGGCCTCGCAGGGAGAGATTCGACGCATTTAACTTTTCAAAGATATCACATAAGTATGCTAGTTGAATCAAAAAATCCGTTTCTACAAAGTACTTGGCACACTGGTGTTTTTCTTCTTTAAGAAAAATGTAGATTTCTTACCGTAATTGGAACGGACGAGACAAAACATTACCACGAGAGAGCCATCGTGAGTGGCAGTAGTATAACAGAGACGTGTGTTCTGCACCCATATCCTCACACATTTTTTTTGAAAAACCTTGCTTTCACCGACCTAGTTTTTATATAATTTACCAGTTACCACACGTTCTAAGACCAAATTTAGTGAAGGACCACACGTTCTAAGACCAAATTCTTTAATGCAAGCGCTTACCTATGAATGATGCAATAGGTCCATACTGAATCCTTAGCTTTGTTTCGAATAAGCGCCTGTAATCCTCCATAACGGCCAGACATTGAACGACCACCATCAGTGCAAACATTAACGTACTTTGTCCACTCCAAATTGTTTTCAACCACAAATGTATTCATGATCTCGAACAAGTCTTGCGCCTTTGTACTTGCAGTGATTTTTTTACAAGACAGAAGATCCTCCACAATGGTATTATCATCCAAGAACCTTATGTAACAAATCAAGTGTGTATCTTTACTAGAATTTGTTGTCTCATCCAACTGTAACGCAAATTCACTTTCTTTTATTTTTTCAATTATTTGGTCATTATGATCCTTCGCCATACGCTGAATTCTGCGACTGATGGTGTTGTTAGATAAAGGCACCGATGAAAGAAGTTTTCCCGCAGATTCTCCGATCATAATGTTTACTAAATCTACAGCATCCGGTAGAATTAATTGTTCTGCGATTGTGTGGGGCTTTTTACACTTTGAAACTTTATACGCAACCTTGTATGACGCCAGCAAAGCATTTTTAGGTATCGACAAATGCTTGGAAAAGTTACCTTATTGTTGCTTCAAATCATTTAACTTCCTGGTAAAAAAGCTACGAGGTTTGTCAGCAAAGTTTGGATGATTGGCTTCCAAGTAGCGTTTTAACTTACTTGGAAGCATGTATTTTGGAGCCAAAAGTTTCAGGCACAATATACATTGTGGGCTCTCTTCATCATTGACGTTTGTTGATGTAAAGCCAAAATCCAAATAGCTGTCATCACATTTACGGTATTTTCGTTTCTTCACGACTCTACCACTAGTTTGTGGTGCATCCACTTTATTTTTAGAACCACCTTGTTTATTTAAATTCAAAAACTTTTCCATTTTTACAGCAACTTTTGTACACAAGTAGGTGAAACAACCCTGTTTATGTTCACACTGATAAACGAAACGATGCGAACAGTATGAAACTACAAATTCAACTAACTAAAATTTAGATAAGTAAAAATTTATAGTTTTAAAATGTGCACGTGCAAAGAGACGATTGAATTTGCCGACCGGCAGTGATTTATGGCCTGTCGGTCCGAAGTCAATTTACAGTAGTGACAGAATTGTTTCGTGGAATTTAAAATATCGAGGATATATTGTCGGCATCAAATAAAATTACTAATAACTGAACTCGTTTATCATGGGAAACATCTTTATATAGGTAAATTTTAAAAGTTAAAAAGTTGTCATAACAACTTTAGTTTAATGTTTATTTAATACTTGAAGGTAATTATGTGATTTGATTATGTCTAATATTGGAAGAAAACTTTCGCGGCGCCCCTGTAGTCGAACCACGGCGCCCCAGGGCGCCGCGGCGCACAGTTTGGGAAGCACTGCTATATAACAATAAAACGCTGAAAACTTTGTTTTCAAAACTTCCACAAAATGTATTATATCTTATAACTACAGATATTTTACTGTATAGTATTTAACTGAATAGATTGAGGAAGGGAGAACTGCTTTTCTGAGTTGGTCAGTCATAAATTTGAGATCTCCACTGCTGCTATACTTAAACAAAATAAATACAAACCTACTGAAGAGTCATTCTTAGGTTCATTGCTATAACTATAAGAATAGCCTTTGTAATATTCATCTGATATTTTAAGAACACCCCATGTCGTAAGTGAAACAAATATTGTTAATAAACTAGATACTACTAGCACTTTTAAACATTTGAAGTCACATGTGTTGGTACAATGGATATCTAAAACAAAAATTGTAATTAAACTAATAAATTTTTAACTTACGGTACTTACGCCAGCAAGGTAGAGACAAGCTAGCGAAAACTTAAAAGAAATATATTTAACAATACATATTTAAAAATATATTTAACAAGAAATATATTCAATATATAAACATGGAGGTGACAATTTCTCTAAGAATATGTAGGGAACGTCATCAGATCCAGCAGCTGTGTTTTTATAGGATTTAAGTGCAGATTTTGTTTTGTAATAAAAGAGTTCTGGTAGTTGGTATCTTGCGAAACTGATGAAGGAAGGGAAGAGTATATAGGGTTAGGTCCAAATTTATTGCGAAAATTTTTTAAAAGTTTTCTGCCAGAATCTTGGATATCTCTCTAAGAAAGAGATTAAAGATTTTAATGTTATTTTTTTGCCTTGTATCTGTCCAATTTTGTTCCAAACTAAGCTTGGACTAGTGTTTTCACTTATTGAGCAGATCTATTGTTTCCATGAAGTTTTCTTACTTAATTTAATAGTGTGTCTAGATTTGGCGCTTGCTCTTTTTAGTTTAATATTTCACATTTGTTTTTGCTGTAAATTTTTAAAGCCAATTTTTGTTGCTGCACGGCGTCTTAGCAATAAGAGTATTTCGCCATTGGACATTCTTTCATTTAGCTGAAATTTACCGATTTCCCGATGTGCGCTTCAGCAAAGCGAATAGAGTTTGTGAATTTGGTAACGTCCATATCAATGTTATCAGTTAGAGTAAGTTTAGGTAGAAAATGGTCAGTTTCAATAATATAATTAGTCCAATTAAATTTTTTTTGGACCAAAATATTTTTCAATATTTGAGAATTTGACGTATCTGAGTTAGTTATACAGAATGTAAGTAGGTCATGTTAATGTAGAAGCCAATTTTGGGTCACTTAAGCTTAGATCAATATTGGAGAAAAAACCAGTAGAAATAATAAAATAAGTATGAGAAACAGTGTTTAACAAACATGTTTAATAACATTTTCAATAATCTTACCATATGTGTAATTGAAACCCCACAATACATTATGAGCATTTAAATCCCCTGGAAGTATGTAGGGGCTAGGTAGTTTAAAAACTAGATTTAGAAATTCTTTTTTAGAGAGAATAAACAAAGTATAAATGCAAGAGAAAGAGAATGACTTCTATTCATTATGAATGTTGTGATTAGATTCGACATCAGAAGGGTTATCAGACAAGACACTTAAGATTTTTTTAAGATTCTAGAGATACGGTTTTTTAGTGATCTTTCCATTATACTTGTGTAGAGCAGCGACTCAAATTAATTTAAATTGTACTAAAGTTCTGCGCCTTAAAGGGGAAGAACATAAGCATCGGATTATTGAGTTTCATGATCTCGAGCATCGTTAGAAATGAGCCTATTTACAAAATATCATATAAATTACAAATTAAACAAATTAAATTGGGCAAAATCTTTTGTACACAATTCAAACACAATAAGACCCTCAAGGTTAGGCACATTTTAACAAAATTTAATAAACAATAAAAAAGTTATTTACAATATTCAAAAATAGCGATATTGTTTATTTTGCAATAACTTTTTGTTTATCATCCGATTTCAATTTAGCATATCTCATTTTATGTATCTTTTTTGAGTTGTCTTTTGATGTCAAATCTCTAAATAGACAAGTTTTTAAGTTATGAACCAAATAATAAGTCGAAGAAGTCTTAAAGTTATTAAATAGAATGAAAAACAATAAAGCAGCTGGTGATGATCAAATCGTTATTGAGGCAGTTAAAGCAGGAGGAAAGACAGTATTGAAAGCATTGACGCAATTATATAACTTATGCCTTTCAAACGAGGTTACACCATCTCAGTGGAATAAAGCTGTTATAGTAGTCATGCACAAAAAGGGAGATATAATAGAGCTAAAGAACTATAGACCTATTAGCCTGTTATCTCACGTTTATAAGTTGTTTATGAAGATAATAACTAATAGGTTGACATCAAAACTAGACTTCTATCAACCTTGCGAGCAAGCAGGATTTAGAGCTGGATACGGAACAAATGATCATTTGCAAACCATTAAGTCGTTGATTGAAAAAACCATTGAATATAATAGATCCCTGATACTTGTCTTTGTCGACTTTGAAAAAGCATTTGATACGGTCCATCAAAGTGAAATGCTCCAAGCTCTAACACAATGTAGAATAGATCACCGATACATATCTCTCATCAGATACATCTATCAACATGCTACAGCCTGTGTAAGACTTAATGAAGATACTGGGACTTTTCGTATTGAAAGAGACGTTCGGCAAGGAGACAACATGTCTCCTAAATTATTTACAACTTTGCTAGAATACGCTTGTAAAACAATAGATTGGAACGAAAAGGGCATCAATGTAGATGGAAAATTTTTAAATAACCTTAAATTTGCAGATGATATCGTTCTTATTGTCGACAGCTTTGATCAGGCACAGATAATGCTCCAAGAACTCCATACTGCCACAAAAAGAGTTGGTCTTAAAATAAATTTTTTAAAAACACAATTTATGACAAATTTAGTCCACAACAAAAACATCTCAGTAGAAGATAAAGATATTGAGCCAGTTGACTCCTATAAATACTTAGACCATGAGATTAGAATAAGTCGAGACAACCAAACAATCGAGCTGAAAAGAAGAATAAACCTCGCTCGGGCTGCATTTGGAAGGATGAAGGATATTTTTAGGTCTAAGATTCCAATGTGTCTAAAAATAAAAGTATTTAATCAATGTATTTTGCCAGTGATGACCTACGGCGCAGAAACCCTAACGGTCACAAGAACAACAGTGAGTAAACTACAAGTTGCGGAAAGAGCAATGGAGAGAATTATGTTAGGGATTTCTCTACGTGATAGAATACCCAATGCTACTATACGCAAAAGATCAGGAGTAGCAGACGTTATTGAAAGGATAACAACACTAAAGTGGAACTGGGCAGGTCATGTAGCAAGATCAGTTGATGACCGGTGGACAAAAAGAATTTTGGAATGGAGACCCCGAATACAAGCTTACAGAAATAGAGGTCAACCCCCAACGAGATGGACAGATGACATAAAAAGAGTGACTACAAATTGGATTCAGATGGCGCAAAATCGGACTAAGTGGAAAAGCATGCGAGAGGCCTATGTTCAGCAGTGGACGTTAGAGGCTAGTTGTTGATGATGATGAATAAGTTTGACGTTTTAATTGATGTGCCAGGTGAGCATCCTACCCATTGTAAAAGGAAACAAGGCTCAAAGAACATATATAAAGCCTCGGAACCTGACGTAACCTAAGATGATGAACCACGCAAAGAAAAGGAAAGAAAGGAGGAAAAATAAGCCCACAATCAGATTAGTAACATGGAACATTACTTCTTTCAACAACAGAGACCAAGAGATAATAGAAGAACTGACTAAACAAAAACATAGACATTTGTGCAATCCAAGAAACCAAGAAAAAAGGTAAAGGCCAAAAAGAATATAACCAATATTTCTTAGCACACAGTGAAGTAAAGAAAAAAGAAGGAGCACGAGCAGGCGTATGTATATTTGTATGTAAAGACATTAAGGAGGAACTAGAAACATTCTACGAACAATTGCAAACCATACTGGATGAAATACTTCATGAAGAGCCCTTTATTCTTATGGGTGACTTTAATACACGAATCGGAAATGAAATAGTTCCAGGAGTAACACAAAGATTTAATGAAAACCATGTCAATACAAATGGAGAACTCATGGCTAATCTCTGTGCTTTTAACGAACTCCAAATCAATAATACATTTTTCGACCATCAGATCCAGTACAAATATATATTTGAAAACTCCAGAGGGCATAAATCTATTATTAATTTTATAGTCACTAATAGAAAAATCCAGCCAAAGCAATTTTTAGATATCCGAACTTTATACTCAGCAGACGCAGAGAGTGAAGACAAATTAGTACTAGCAAAGATAAGAATAAAAATAACACCAAAACAAAATTTTCTATAGGAAATCACCGGGAAAAAATTCAATGTAGGGAACGACTCTACAAGAAAATGTACCAAAGAAGGCTAGCATAAAAGATACAGCTGAAACAAATAGACGACATCAAGATATAAACGCGAGCTGGGATAAAATTAAAAACAACATTGAAGAAGCAGCAACAGCAGAAGCTCTAGGAAAACGCAAAATCTTACTGAACAAAAGAAACAACAACAATACAACCATGGTTCAGAAAAGAAATAAAAGAGAAATGTAAAGAGAAACAAGAGGCCTACACGAAATACAAAACGTCAAATACACCAGAATCCCAAAACAACTATAGAAGAATACGGAATGAAACAAAGCAGTTGGTAAGAAGAACAAAAAATGAACACTGGAAACAGTTTACAAAAAGGATGGAAAGCGACTTCTACGGTACACAAAAACAAATATGGAGATTTATAAGAAAGAAACGAAAGAAATGGCAGAATTAAAGGAATACAATAACATACCAGCAAACGAATGGAAAATATACCTAACGGAACTGTTTAAAGCAAAGGAAAATAATAATAAACACAATAACGTACCTAAATTAAGACACGAAATAAGAATCAATTTTCAGGAAGTAGAAATAGCCATAAATTCGCTCAAAAATAGAAAGTCACCAGAACCAGATTAGAGAACCAACGAGCTTCTAAAATACGGAGGAGAAAGTATAACCCTAGAGATGACAAAACTTATACAAAAACTAATATTGCACTGCAAGATACCAGACGCATGGAAACAGGTTAATGATACCAATGTTCAAGAAAGAAGATAAAGAAGACCCCAGCAACAATTATAGAGGTATAAATCTACTGAACACCGCACTTAGGCTTACCACAGAAGTCCTATCCAATAAAATCAATAAACTAACAACTTTATCAGATGAACAATAAGGATTTAGATCCAAAAGATCCTGCGTAGACGCCGTATTTGTACTAAGACAAATTACAGAAAAGGCCATCGAGTACAATAAACTAGCATATCGATGTTTTATAGACCTGACAAAGGCTTTCGATCGCATACAAGTCGAAGACGTCTTACACCTACTGTATCAAAGAAACATACCAATCAATATTATACAAACCATCGAAAATATCTCCGTCCAAAATCGAATACAGGCAAAGATGAATTAAAAACTAACACAGTGTATACAAGTACAAAGCGGAGTCCGACAGGGTGACTCGTTGAGCCCACTTCTCTTTAATATAATAATGGACGAAATAATGCAAGCAGTACGTTAAGGTCATGTCTACAGAATAGTGAACAAAGAAATCCAAATATTGTGTTATGCTGACAACGCCGCATTAATCGCCGAGACAGAAGACGAGCTCCAAAGATTAATACATATCTTCAATACAACAGCTAAGAAATACAATATGACAATATCAGCAGTAAAAAACCAAATATATAAGAACATCAAAATACCCACTATGGTGTAAAATCGAAATTGATGGAAAAATAATAAAGCAATTACTATTTAACTGGGAATAAGCCACAATTAAAGATAAAAATACGTTTATTGACGTTTTAATTTCCACTTAGGAAATCGTTCTCAAAATACAAACAGTTGTTTGTATTTTGAGATTTTATATTTTGCTTATTCCCAGTTAAATAGTAATTAATTTAAAATGCCACAAGAAAATAGCTTTAGAACAATAATAATAAAGCAGGAAGCAAGGTTTAGATATCTGGGAATAGATATAACTAGTTACGGAGATATTGAAGAAGAAGTACGGCAACAAAGCTTAAAAGCAAGTAAAACGGCAAGTTCTCTTAATGACACAATCTGGAAGGACAAACACCTAAGACAAGACACAAAAACAAGAATTTATAAAGCAGCAATTGGACCTATATTAACATACATGGTGGAGACAAGACCTCACATATCTAAAACGAGACGACTGCTAGAAACAACAGAGATGAAAATATTCGACTAATATCAGGGAGAAGTCTGTTGGATAGGGAGAGAAGCAAAAACATAAGAAGAGCATGCAATATAGAAGACATAAATAGATGGGTGAAAAAAACGAAAACAGGAGTTAAACGAACATATCAGTAGAATGGCAGAGGATAGAATAGTACGAATAGCAGGAGATAAGTCACCAAATGGACGAAGAAATATTGGCAGACCAATAAAAAGATGGTGCGACAATTTAAACAATTTAGGAGGCTAATATTGAATAAGAAACATGCTTCAAAAGCCTACATAGTAGAAGGAAGACGAAGAAGAAGAACGTTTTGTTTGTTTATTTAATCATAATTCCTCTAAAAATTGACGAATCCCTAGATGAGAGTCTTTTTGTACTGTACAAACTCGTCTTTACAGTTGTAACGAAAAAAGGTTTATTTTGATTGGTCTATATACTCATCTCTTTTAAAACAGTTGTGACTTTAGTTTGTAACAAAATATGCTAAAAATATACATACCTTTATTTTTACTTGAATACGACAATTTAATAGTAAAAACAGGTTTCTGTGTTTGATCACCAAATTTTAAATCATTCTGCATTTTAAAAATAAGTGGTAATTATTCACAACCAGTTCTTAACACGACGATCACAACACTAAAGTAATTTTTAACTTTGAACGACAAAAGTTTAACATTGTGAAACCCAGAAATGTAAATAAATAATACATTATGTTTATACATTATACGTTGAAACAATATCTCTTGCCAGATTGCTTATATTTCTTGGTAATTGCTAATAATATCACCAATATAATTTTATTTACTCGTGCTCAGATAGATATTGTTTTATATTGTGGATATGTACTTACTGTTTGTTATCTTTGATATGGAGATAATCCGGTTTTAAAAAGAGCCGGTTACTTTCACAATAGAGATTAGTTTTCTATGTAGGTCTACTTCCTACTTTCCTTCATAAAAGTATGATATCTCTGATAACTGAAAATTAAATATAATTTTATTCTATTGTAGCTATTTTAGTATTGCCTTAAAAAAATATTTTTTAAACCTTTTTTTAGCTGGAAAAATATTCCAGATTATCTTTGTTGCTAACTGGCAGTCGTTGGCGGTTATCTGGACTCTTCAAACCATCAGAGTTTTGTACAATTTTTGTACCTTTAACAAAAACCAATCGACGGCCTAATTAACAAACCACGTAACTCCAAAAAAATCGAATTTTGGATTTTAATTTTATTATAATGATCTACGGTAGCTCTACATTTCTGCCTAAGCAGTAAACTCAAAAAAAATTAACTAATTAGAGAAATGGAAGAAACACAACACGTATCTTTTTTGGTGGGAAATTTGTTAACGCAAACCTCGTAACTCCTGGCTGTGACAGCCTGTTTCCATAGTGTAGCACGTGAGTTGTGTGGTGCTTGGCTGATTTATTCTGCCTGTGTAAATATATGTTTCCAGTTCATCCAATGATTCTTAAATTTGATGGTAAGTTTCTTTAATGTTCTAACCTTAGCTTATTCTCGCCTGTTTAATCTCAAATACATTAGCAAATCGATAAATTTCAAAGACAATATAGTTACTTGGATTTCTTACAAATCAAAATGTTTGGTTAGTTTCCTATTCAGTGGAGTTACGGCTTTTGTTACTTACTCTTCGTTTAATAAATAATTTACTGTTGAAATATGTAGATATATTAAAATTTTAATACGTTTCATGTTAAATAATTATGAACTATATTATACCATAAGGATTTTACGACAAAGTATAAATATTTTTAGTATTAGGAGTTACGTGTTATGTAACAAACTTTTTTTGGAGTTACGAGTTTTACCGATGAATGATAACGGAGTTACTTGTTTTTACAAGGGTAATTTACATAAGAATGGTTTAAACTCTTAAGTGGTATGTCAGTTAAGTGTCAGATTTTCAAATAAAGCTGACAACTAACAGGGATTTGTTTTGTTTGCAGGAGAAAAATGTTTTCGAGAACAAGAAAAATATTAGACTTAGCAAAATGTGCAGCTTAATCGGTTCAGACCAATTGTTCAATTATACCAACAAAGAAACAAATCAACTTAACTCCCGAGGCTAACACAGCAGTTGACAATAGTGATTCCAAATCAGATTTTTTAATAGAGACTGATAATGGTACCTTACTTCCGGTTCAGACCTACAATAAAGTCACTTTAGATGATTCCGGTTTATACACCGACATAGTAGCAAAATGCACAACAAAATCAATTAAAAAAGAATCTTTTCCAGCAAAGGGAATATCGAACTCAACTTCAGACAACACACATGTTGGAAGCGATGATTTTCAATCTGGATTTTTCATTGTAAAAGATGACGTTACCTTATTTTCAATACAGACAGCTATAGGAGACTCTAGTTTACGTTTTGAAAATTCATCTTTAAAATATACAGACGCTACTGGATTTTTGTTTCAATACAGAGCGGCGGCAAGCCGCTTATACGTATTTCGACCTCTTTAGATCTCGTCAGAGCGGTGTAGCCACCTCCTTACCTCTTTTTTTATTTATTTTTAAGTTTAGATGTTTCAGAGAGTGAAGCCCTGACAGCCCTTAAAGAAATAAACTGTGATAAAACCCTGAGTAGCCTTAAATATGTTGATATTAATTATTCTAGTTATAGTTTTAATGCGGAAAAAATACTAGCAGTCATGACAAGGAGACAGTAGTTAAGACAAACTATGCTTCAGAGTTGGATCCAGAGGATGATGTTTTAAACAGATTCGTGGTATATGCTAAAGTACACAATGAACAAATTCCAAAATTCAAACAAAACTTTGCTTTGGCTCAAAAGCCTTTGAAACTCCATAATAGAAAACTGATTAAACAAAAGATTGGAATCATTAAGAGAATTTTTATCGACTTTACTGAACGTGCAATCACACTATTGACGAGCGAGCTCAAAAAAACTTTACTTGAAGCCGCATTGGTTATTGGTTATTACAAGCTTAGCTGTATCAGTTCTATGCAGAAGACTAGTACAAGGCAAAATATTATAAGCCACTTTCTTCTTGCACATTTCACAAGACCTTCGAGGTCCTGAGTTTATCTTTATACAGGACAAAAAAGGATCAATGTGATTTATGCAGGGCATATAAGCTAGATCACATTACTATAGAAAATTTTGAAACCCACAGAACACAGAAGATGAAGCTAGAGAAGAAAAGTCAAAAAATAAAATTAATGAAGAGCACGTATACACAGTTGATCTTCAATCACTGTTACTATGCCCGAAATCAAACGCATCAGGCCTTTACTACAGGCGTAAACTTTCGGTACACAACCTTAGTATGTTTAACCTGAAGACAAAGGAAGGGTTTTGCTACCCTCGAAACGAGACAGAAGGGGAACTTTTAGAAAATGAATCTCACAGCATTTTAAAAAAATTTGTTGAATCGCAACTTCCCCTGTGGAACAATGTAACGAAGATTGTAATATTTAGTGATGGATGTAATTATCCATACCGAAGTGAAGTTATGAGTAACGCCCTCTTACATGTGGCCGTTAAACATAAAATAACTATACAGAGTAAATATCTCGAAAAGGTTTTTCGAGATATTTCCACTCCACTCAGATGGAGTGTGACTCAATGCATGCTACCATAAAACGATATTTAAAACACAGAGAAATTAAAATGGCGGCAGACTACATTGACGCATACAAAAAATGCCAGTCAAAGAAGTTCATATAAAGTGATGTATTCGGATCACTCTTTTTTTAAAGACTTTATGAAACCATTGGTTTTCAAATCAATTCGTGCTGGTATTAGAAAAGTGGACCCTAAAGTCAGACATCCGATGCTTGAAATATGATGCTAATGGAAAAATATACTACAAACTGTTCTTCAACGATAACTTGAAAGAAAAGGTTGATAAAGGATCCAGAAAATCCAAATAATAAGCCCAAATTCCGAATAAATCTGTGACCAGTTACCAGACGAAGTTCGAGAACTCCTTTAAGCTAACTTTTAACCACTCTACAATGACAGACTGAAAATTACTGCGGGTAAATATCAATATTTAAAAGAACTGAAACCAAGTATTGCAAAAGACTATCACTTATTTTATGATAATTTCCCCATGTAACAAAACTTTGTAATTTTTTTAAAACAAAATGTAATACACGTTTTCAATCCAAGTTTTACTGTCCATATTTTATTTCTCGTATGTAGATAATATTCTGTAACATTGGGTCAAATGAAATTAGTTCAAATTAATCAAATATTAGGTTTAAACCACTTAACTCCCCAATTGAAAGTTTGCAAACCGCGTATCTGTTAAAGTAATACCACATAACTCCGTAACTAAATCTATAAAAACTCGTAACTCCAATTAAAAATTATATTAGGTATATTTATACATGGAAAAGATCCTACTGATATTAGACTTATATTAATATTGGTGTTTTTAAAAATATAAAGTCGGTAAGGCCCACTTTTTTGAAGTTATTTAGTTTTTTGTTGCTCCTGTAAAAACAGGATAATGTGAGTTACGTGGTTTGTTAATTCGGCCGTAGCAATGTTTTAATTGTATACAGATTAGGTAAGAGAAACTTTAACCCGATCTTGGTAAATTTTAAAAATGTAGTACCGTCTTTGGTTAGTAAAACAAAATCTAATAATATCTCTTTCTCTAAAAGTCATCATCATCATTAACCTGTATGTGTCCATTACTGGATATAGCTCTCCCTCAGCTGTTTTCATCTGTCTCTGTCTTGTGCGGCGTGCATCCAGTTTTTGCTAATTTAAGCGGCGACTTATTTCTTCGTTTGGGATTGTCTCTCAGAGAGACACCTAACATCTGGTGCTTCATAGCTCTCTCTCCTAGTTTCACATGAATCTTATTTACTACCGTTTTTGTGAGTGTTGGTGTTTCCTCTCCATAAGTGAATACATTGTAACACCGATTGGTCAATGATTTTACTTTTGAGGGATATGGGTAGGTGTGATTTTAATGCATTGCTTAATTTACGATACGCTGCCCAGGCTAATCCTGTGCGACGTAGAAGCTTACATGTCTGATTATCTCTGCCCAACCGAATTTCATGTTCTAAGTACTTACACGATGCAGTCTGCACAATATCCCTTCCATAAACACCAGTATTTCGATTTAGCACCAGAGTTAGTCATTATTTGAGTCTTGTACATGTTAATTTTTAGTCTGACCTCTAAGGAAGCGTGATATAATTTTTAAAACAATATTACTTCATCATTTATCCGCTATAAGAACGATGTTATCTGCAAAAGTAAGCACTCTAAAGGTACCTAACTATTAACTATTATACTAGAATTACATAGTAAACATCACATACTTACATTATTACTGCATCTTTCATACGATCGGCTATAAGAACGATGTTATCTGCAAACGTACTCTAAACGTACCTAACTAAAAACTATTATACTAAAATCACATAAGTTAGTGACGCCAAATAAGGTCAGTCTCTTAATAGGGCCAATTGTAAATATTTCCTTCTTCTCTTTTTGTGTAGATTGTTTTAGAATAGAATTGTTTTAGTTTTCTGTGTAGAGATCACCATATTAAAGTCCTTTGCCCTTGTGTTGAATCTATGGATTAGTCTTTGTA